TCAAAGTTGACAACCTTAAAACTTAAGCAAATATAAATACGTTGAAATTTTATTCGAGCGATATTCTAATCTAATACAAAAAAGGATTTCAAAATTGAGTGTAAAGGGTATAACCGTGACTGACGCTTCTGCTTGTAAGCATTTTTGCTGGAAATGCCTTCATGAAAACTCTAATAACTGCTTCTAGGCATGTACTTCTTCGAAAAAGTGCTTCTATTATGTAGTTTAAGTTTTTCTCCCCAAAATGTTGTTAGAAAAGCGAACTGTCACAAAACGTTTCTAACCTTTTTGGAAGCCCCAATCAAGTGATTATTGTATTATCAGATTAGTTTGTTGGGTAATTGATAGCTATTGTGGACTTTGGAACAGGGGAATATGGTGTTGTGCTGTGGCTGCTGATTTTACCCATTTCTCAATATTTTTTGTTTATTTTGCAGGAAAAAGTAAAATCCCAACTAGGACAATTGTTGCCATTGTTGTACCAATATCTGTATCTGTGCTACTTTTTGTTGTGGGTTACTGCTGCATAACTAGGAGAGCAAGAAAGAAGTACAATCAAGCAGCAGCAGACGAACCAAGCGGTAAACAAATATATCCTTCTGCGATTCTCTTGTTTATTCTCGTTGATTCTCCTTTCATTTATTCCTCGTCTTTAAACGTTGTGCTTCTATGGTTTGGTTGGTTGTGTTCTTCTCAAAAAAAAAAAATGGTTTGGTTGGTTGTTCAGGTGAGAATGACATTTCTACTGTCGAGTCTTTGCAATTTGATTTTGCTACCATCCAAGCAGCTACGAGCAATTTCTCCGATGATCACAAGTTAGGCGAAGGTGGTTTCGGTCAAGTTTACAAGGTATGTTAATCAGTATATGACATGAGTGCTCCTTAAGGTCTACAAAGTTCCAACTTTTATGCATGCAAAATCTGAATAATTTTGGAGCCTCATAAGCCGTCCATGAATGCCATGAGTGGACATTCCATTGTTTGATTGAAGTTTTCTCGCAGGGTACACTTTCAAACGGTCAAGAAGTAGCTGTGAAGAGGCTATCAAAGAACTCTGGCCAAGGCACAGAAGAGTTTAAGAACGAGATGGTATTGGTAGCCAAGCTTCAACACCGAAATTTGGTTAGGCTATTGGGATTTTGCTTGGAAGGCGAAGAAAAGATTCTTGTTTATGAATATGTGCTCAACAAAAGCCTCGACTGTTTCCTATTTGGTTTGTACACACTCGAACATCTGATAGTCTTTCCCTATTGCAATAGCAGTTCGTCGATGATGACTTGATTTTGATGATTTGCAGACCCTGAGAAACAGGGGCAATTGGATTGGTCAAGACGTTACAAGATTATTTCAGGAATTGCTCGAGGAATCATGTACCTGCATGAAGATTCTCAACTTAGAATTATACATCGTGATCTCAAAGCCAGCAATATATTGTTAGATGGGGACATGCATCCAAAAATATCTGATTTTGGCATGGCCAGGATCTTTGGGGTTGATCAAACTCAAGCAAACACAAATAGAATTGTCGGAACATAGTAAGTTTCTCCCTTTTCTTCTTTTCTTTTAACACGACCACCTCTTCTTTGCATTATCTGTACTAATGAATTTGTCAAATTTTCCCTTCTCAACTTGTAGTGGTTATATGTCTCCTGAGTATGCAATGCACGGGCATTTTTCTGTCAAGTCCGATCTGTATAGTTTCGGTGTTTTAGTGCTAGAAATCATCAGTGGCAAGAAGAACAGTAACTTCTTTCAGACCGATGCAGCTGAGGACCTCGCGAGCCATGTAAGCTTAAAGTGAAAAGTGCAGTGTTCTGTTCTCCTGTATTGACATAGCATTATGATTTAAACTTTTGAGTTTTATGCAGGCTTGGAAGTTATGGAGAGACGGGAAATCTTTGGAATTGTTGGATCAGTGTATGAGAGACTCTTATTCGAGGACTGAAGTAATCAGATGCATCCACATCGGCTTACTTTGTGTTCAGGAAGATCCAGCTGACAGGCCTACAATGCAATCAGTAGTTCTCATGCTCAATAGCTACTCTGTCAGTCTGGCATTACCTAAACAACCGGCATTTTTTCTCCAAAGCAGAGCAGTGGGGAACATGCCAAAGATAACGCTGGAGTCCGATCAATCTATCAGCAAGTCATCTCCGTCCGTTTATGAAGGATCTATCACTGAAGTATACCCTAGATAGTGTGCATTAACAAGGCGTTAGATCTATTGTAATATATGTTTATCAACCCACTGCTTTGCAATCTATGGATTAGAATTTTATATATATAGGTGAGGAGCGGTGGATTCAGGATTTATAATTAATGGGTTGGTTAAAGTGTTTAATGTTTTTTGAAACCTCAATATAATTACTCATAAACCAAAATATTTGGGATTATATTTTAGGGTAAATTGCGGTTTGACCTCCTGAACTATCACCCCAATTGAAATTGACCCCTAAACTATTTTTTTGGTAAATTAAAATCAGTCAATTAACCCTTTCCCATTGATTGCGGAATCAATTTCGTCAAACTCAAGGGCAAATTAGTCATTTCTTCATCAATTGTTACTTGTCTGCTATAACCACTAATAAAATTTTGACATATGGACACAGAATAATTCAAAAGCATATAGCATAATGAGAAAACATAAAAAACCAAACGTTTATATAATGGACCATCACACATTGTTATTATTTGTTTTCAAATGTCATAAGTTCATGGGTGGTTATAGTTGACAAGTAAGAATTAATGAAGGAAAGACTAATTTTCTTTTGAATTTGATGAAATAGTGAACGGAATCTACCGACAAAATATCAATTGGCTGATTTCAAATAGTATAGGGGGTTAATTTATAAAAAAGAATAGTTTAGGAGGTCAATTTCAACTAGAGTATAGTTCAAAGAGTCAAATAACAGTTTACTCTATATTTTAAAGGTTACTTGAAATTTGAGGAATGAAAATATGAGAGAGGAGAGAGTAGTGGCTCGGTGGCAAAATGACCACATTTGGTGGCGGGGTTGAGGGGTTTGTGTGGCTCAGTGGTTGTGCAATTCGGGAGTTGACATGACAGTGACTGGGGGTTATTTTGGGGGCAGTAATCGGGGGTGGGCGTGCCCAGTATGCAGAAACATCAACTTCAAGCAGTTCATTCAGTCATTTCATAAAAAATAAAAAAAAACTAATGAAAATGATTTAAACTTTGAATTTTAACGATAAGGATAAAATAAAGGGTAAAATGAATAATACCATGATTGACTTTTTTACTGTAAAAATGTAGTTTTTCATTAAAATGAACAGTACTGTAAACTTTTCGTTAAAACTTCTTAAAAAAAATGGTGGGTTCCAAACCAACGAGAAGATCAGGAGGTCACCGGAGTTGATCCCAGCCACTTTTTTTGGCCTTGACTGGGTCAACTGACCACTTTTTTGGTCCTTGGTGGACTCCCCACATGATATGAAGAATACCAAGGAAGCTTTTTTCCACATAACGTGATTGACAAGGCTCAAGTTTTCACGCCTATGATTGGAACAAGGTTCTTTTCTCTTTGTATAAAAAATCAAAGGGGTTTCTATCTCTCTCTCTCTATTGAATCTTCTTCAGTGTGTAGTTACCTAACATTGCACGTTCCGACGTTCGGATTGTGCTTTTGCACCTTCCTTTTTCTCTCAGTGGTGCTTTTTTTATTTTTATTTTGGCTATTTTATTTATTTTATAAATTAAATGAATGATGAACAAATGAGCTTAGCTATTCATTGCCATTTGTATGAGTGCCAATTGTTTAATGATATACGAAAAACAGTTTATACATATTAATGTTTTATGGGGTGTGCTATCCACACACCTCAAATTACTTCTCACACACCCTTATTAATTTTTATCCGTTGATCTTCTTCAATTCATCCAATCCAACGGTCGAAAATTAGAAAAAATATGTGAGAAATAAAATAAAGTGTGTGGATATCACATCCCATATTTTATTTGGTACGGTACATTCATATATGTAAATCTTTTTCAATCTACTGACACACAATCTAAAGTCAACAATCAATCAAAATTTGATCCTATGGCCACTAAAATATGGACGGTAACCATTAACTAGCGGACTTGGATTCTCTCCCCCCCCCCAATTCGGTGCCCTCCTGTTTGTGTGGTCACGGTTAAGCCACATCAATATTTTTATATTACTATTTTTTTTTTGTCTTATTATTTTTATAAAAAAAACAATATAAAATGTTAGCATGGATTAACCGTGACCACACAAAACAGGAGGGCACGGGGAGGGTACCGAAATAGGAGGGCAGAGAATCCAAGTCCTTAACTAGCTGGTTAATGACACCAAGTCAGTCTGAAGTGTTCTGCTCACTCCCTCTCTCCCACTTCCGGGAAGTCCCACAATGGATTCGGCCCCTCTCGGCAGGAAGAGGATTCCTTTGTCAGGATTCTAGAAATCCTCGAATCTTGTGTATTCATCGTTAATTGTGCGGTCATAAGTTATTTTAAATATATATATTTAATATTTAATATATATATTTAAATAAAGCGTTTGATTTTTTTAAACCTCAATATTCAATTATTCATAAACCAAAATATTTGGGATTATAATTTAAAAGTTACTTGATATTTGAGGAATGAAAATATGAGAGAGGAGAGAGTAGTGGTTTGGTGGCAAAATGGCCGCATGTGGTGGCAGGGTTGGGGTTGGGGTTGGGTTGTGGGGGAGTAATCGGGTGTGGGTGTGGATTATTGTTATCGTTTTTTCTTTTAAAATAAGGAAAATTAATGAAAAGAATGAAAATTTTGAGTTTTAATCAAAATGACAAAAATGTGTTGTAAGTGAAAAGTATCAGGAATGACTATTTAAAGTAAAAATGTTCTTAACGTTAAAAATGAACAGTACAGGAAATGTTTCGTTAAAATTTTCTTTAAAATATTTGAAGAAAAATGAGAACTAAAGACCAGGTTCAAAACTATATCGTTTTAAAAGAAAAGAAATACTTGCGTGCTTAGTGTTGAACAACAAAAATATACAACATAAAAAAAAAATAGAGTCCATACAAATTGGGTCAGGCTATAAGGCAAAACAAAGATGTAAACCAGCCCAAAAGATAAGAATGGGCTTTACATACAAACCAAATATCCATAAATAAATAAATAAAAAATAATAAGGAAAAATTTCCTACAAAAGGGGGAAGTAATAAACAGGTTCCTCCTGTCCTGCAACAAAAAAACGTGGGGTCAGTTAAGAGGGGTTAAGAGAGAGTGGCAGGAAGTCATGCCCTCCATCTTCTCCCCACGTAACAAGCTCTAGAACCCTCCTATGATGCCTATAAATGGGCATCAGCTGCAACAACAAAAAAAGAGACAGAAAAAAGAGGGGAAACTCTGCCGAAAATAAGAGCAACTTTTAGAGAAAATACCAAAAGCAACAAGGTGCTGCCAGGAAAGAGAGCAAGCTATTCAACCATTTCGTGCTTTCAAGTCAAGATTTAAAGAAGAACATTCATCACCAGGTATGAAACAAGTTCTATTTAAATTATTATTTTTCTCTTGTTATGTTGCAGAAAGAACAAAATAAGAGCAGCGACCACAGCAAATAAAAAAAAGCATTGTAGCAGCAAACACAAAACTGAAAAGCAGTAGAGAAACAAAAAATGAGGAAAGGGAAACAAGCGAAGGCATATAAGGCCTTTGTCTCTTTGTCTGGTATTTTCCTGCACCAAACAGATAGAGGTGGAGACTCTGAACGATCTACCAATTCCCCACCAACAAGCAGCAGAGATAATTTCCAAGAATCCCATGAATTTCTTCAGGGTGGCCTAGACCACCCCGTGAAGTTCCAATCAAAGTCTAAGTAACCTATACCTGCTGTCTGTACATTATGCGACTTGAAATAGATGGGTTTGGCAAATGCCGTGTTGCATAAAGCCAGAAGAAACTCATCCTTTGCGGTCCAAAACAGATGCATTTATGGACAAATAAACAAGGGAAAAGAAGAAAAATACAACTTTTGCTCCCCCTGACCGACTCATGCTTGGTCCAATTCCACAAGAAGAAAAGTTTTCAACACAATTCTTGACAAAGACAAATAAAAAAGGAGGAAGGAAACGTGAAGATGTTTAAAGGGGTCAAAATTTCAAAGTTTCTAAATTAGGACAAAAAGGAAAAGGTTCAAAGCCTTGAAATACTACAATTGTGTCAAAGTTTTGATTAAACATTGTGTCAAAGCTTTGACCAAAAAAAAAAGAGAGACATTGAAATACTACAAGACAAGGAAAGAAAGGGAAAATTTCCCAATCTTTAAATAGACAAGCAACCCTCTTTGTCACGTGAAGATGGGACAAAGATTTGTCAAAGTTTTCACCTGCTTCTCTGCCATAAACATTTAAAAGAGGGTTCAAAGCCTTCTTTGCCACGAGAAGATAAAAAAAAAGGGTTCAAAGCCTTTATATTAAACACTTGCCATCCCAAATTTACAGAGAGGGAAAAGCTTACTGCCAAATTTCCCAAATTATTTGGAAAACCCATTCACATGGTAACCTTTGTATTAAATACCAAAAAGACTTGGTAGACAAATCAAAACTACAGAAAGATTTTTTTTGGGAAAAAGCATCATATTGTACAAATGTTAAAGAGAAAATATGGCAAGAATGGGAACACAAAAAGGGTGTCCAAATGCCATTGTCAAGGCCAGTCAAGTAAAATCTCTTTGTGGAAACAGAAATACCAGAGTGATAATCACACACAAGTACATCATAACTCATTCAAAATATGGCAGATATTATGAGTGTGTGACTACAAATTTCAGAGTACAAACTCTCACCTTTGGAGCCATGAATCAATAATTGTCTTCGACTAACTCGGGGCTGCAAAATGGTTTGTCCAACAACCAATCGAAGAGATGCCGTTGCCCGGGACACCTGCACGAAAGAATTGACAAGTTCATCACAGTTAGAGCTTTATTTCACTCCAAATACATAAACAGATCCAGAATATGAAAAAAAAATAAAAATGGGTAACCTGTTTAAAGGAATCACCTGCAAAGTGGTGAGCTTTTTGATCCACAAAGAGAAGAACGAACAAAAATGGCAAGAGCAAGAAAACAAGGCAGCAGAAAAGGTGAAAGCTTTTGTGACCTGTAAATGGGTTTGCAATTTAAAGTGAAACGGTGGTAAAATTGAAGAAATTTGAACAAAGAATTTGAGCTCCAACAAACCTTACCCATTTTTACTCTGAAATCCACGGATACCCAATCCAAATAGAAGTTTGAAATATAGCGAAATCCATGGGATCCCAAATATATCGGAATAGTTTCCTGCATCTGGAGGAAAACCACCAGGTTTTAGAGCTAAGAGAACGAGGAATCGCTGAAGACATCTTGCGAGGAGGCGTGATTACTAAGGAAATCTGCACCTCACGTGGAGAGGAAGAGAGTTTGTTGAAACCGAGTCCTATTTGGACTTGGAAATTTTAAAAGTTACATAAAGAAAATGGCTGTCAGATTGGAAAGATATCTTGGTCAAATGGTCCAAAACACCATAATAAAAAGAAGAACAAGAAATGCAATAAGACAGGACAAGGCGCCATCAAGTTCCAATTAAAAAAAGGGTGGATGTGACGTGGTCCTTAAAAATCCTTCCAAAGATTATTTTACTCAATACTAATTAATAGGTCATTTACCTATTAATTATTCAGAAGCATAAACGGAATGAAGCCATACCAAAATTAGTGCAATTGATGGTCAAGTCCCATTCGAAATTCCTAAGATTAGGAATTAAAAAAAAAAAGAAAAAAAAAGATCTCTATCAAGCAATTAAGTAGGGGAAAGACAAAATAAAACCCCTACTTCACAAAGCCCATTAGACAAAAAAAAAAAACGAAGGTTCATATATGGGTTCTACTCAGTTTGCTAAGACTGAATACAAGTATGCAAATCCAAACAAAGTAACAAATATAACGAACTACGCCGGTTTGATTCCGTTAAGGATACGTAGGCAGTCTGATATCAAGTTTTAGACGCAACCGTGAAATCAAGACGAATCCCTGGTTTATATAAACTAAATTCACTCCTGCTATCAAATACCAAAATGGCACGAAGCCGAAGAAAAGTCTCAAATGGCACGAAGCCGAAGAAAAGTCTCAAATGGCACGAAGCCGTATCAATTATCGAATGACACAAAGCTGCAACAAGTCTCAAAAATCACGAAGTTACATATAGCTCCAATGGCTTAAAGTCCTCGCCCGCACAAGCTAAAACTGCACAAGGCATCAAATGCTCCTTGCCTGCACGAGTTGAAACTGCACAAGGCATCAAATCTCAACAAATCTATGAACTACGAGTGACTTGATCCCTCAAGAGGGTACGTAGGCAATCTAGGGTTCGACCTAGGTGCAGTCACAAAATCAAACAAAACATCAAATTCCTCAAGTTACATTTTTATTCAAATTGGAATCAAAGGGTATTTCTTTCCCAAAAGAAAGATTGTAATTAATAGGCGTGTAGCCTAGAATGGGTCGAACTCGAATTAATAAAACCCTCTTCGAAAAATGAACGAGGGTGAAATTGTGTCGAGTGAATTATTTGTTTACATATTATGTACAATTTTTGCTCAACATAATTTTTGGCACGCCCAGTGGGACTCATTTTCCCTTTCATCTCTAATTTTTAAAGATAATTAATGTGCTATGTATTTTCTTTTTTTTTGCAGAAAAAGGAAGCATGGCACCACAAGTTACTGTTTACTTCCATGAACTCTCTGCTGCATTCAAACTTGGACATGGAGGACGTGCTGGTCGTCGAATCTCATTCACCATCAATGAAGCACCAACTAGCTGCAACATGGTGAAGGCTAAGGTAGCAACAAAGACAAACAAGGCGGCTGTAAAAGTCATCAAGGTTGGACCGAAAAAATGCCCGTCCAAGAACGCCCTAAGGAACGCAAGGAAAAGAGCAGCACGAGCTCTTAGGAAGAAGATCGCTAAGGAGTGTGTACTTGAAGATATTGAAATCATCTCAAGGGAGCTTCTTGGAGCTATTTCATCTAAGGACACCAAGGTCCCTCGACGCAAGATTGTCAAAGTGACATCATCACCACTTACCAAGGTTCCCGTCATTACTCAAATCATGATTGGAACAATCCCAATCACTTTACCTAAAACGGAGTTGGTCATGATGACCTCCGTCGAGGAAAATGAAGAAATCTTGCCAGTAGTGTCTGGAAATGTTCAACAAAAGGCCAAGGCCTATGAAGTTGTCGAGGAGGGTAACAACATTCAATTCGAGGGGCCTATCACACGTGCAAGGGCCCGAGTATTGGTAAACCATTCTCCCGAGAGTTCATCTTCCCTTGGAGATATTCTTGGAGGAAACAAATATTTTTTCCAAGAAGAGATTCCTAGAGTAATGACTCAATTCCAAAGGTTGGAGATAAATGAAGATGTCGAATCTGAGAACATGCAAGTTCTGATGACTGGTGCATCAAATATAGAAGAACAACTGCTAGAAATGCAACGAAAACTAGCAGAAAAAGAAGCACAAATGGCAACTTTGGTAGCTGATAAGGAAGCTGAAATTGCAACTTTAGCAGCTCAGTTAGCCGCTCAAGCTAGCATAAATAATGCTGGAGAAAGAGCAAGGAAAGAAACAGAAGGAGAAAGTTCTGGTAGCCAAATTACGCATCAAGATATCAATGCAATTTTCGCTGAAAAGATTCGTGAATTTCAAATGTCTTTAACAACACCAATTCTTGGATACCGGAAGCCTTATCCAGCTCACTATGACACAGTGCCATTTCCCCAAGGGTATCAAAAACCGAGCTTTGATAAGTTTGATGGTTTAAGTGGTTCTCCTCAAGAACACTTAGCTCATTTTTACTCAGCTTGTGGGGAGACATCGCAGTCAGATCCCTTATTGGTTCGGCAATTTGTTCAGTCACTAAAAGGGTCTGCTTTCACATGGTACACTCAGTTAGAGCCCGGATCTATTATAACATGGGATGATATGCAAAGAGCTTTTCTAGCTCAATTCGTCAGTTCAAAGAAGAAGGTCACGTTAATGGATTTAGCTCAAACAACACAAAGGCTTGGAGAAAACGCGAGCGAATTCATCACAAGATGGAGGAGCCTTAACCTACAATGCATGGAAAAGATTTCTGAATTTTCGGCAGTACAAATATGTTACAATAACCTCATCCCTGAGATTGCAACATTTGTAGGAATTGCGGAGCCTCGAACTTTCGACAAGTTGGTATCCAAAGCAAGCAATGTGGAGAAGCAGATGTCTCGAAAAAATGTGATTGGAAAGATGATTCAAGACTTAGAAAAGAAGTCTGACATCAAGAAGGGGGATAACAAAAGAATGTCGAAGAAAGGAGATTCTATGGCGACATTTGTCAAAGTAGACAAGAAAAGTGACAATGTAAAAAGAAAAGAAGAAACCAAGGGGACGAGGAGGCTTTCGCTTAAAGAAAGAAAAGAAGTTAAATATAGTTTTGATGATGAAGATGTTGGAACTATCTTCGATGAACTTCTTGCAGCAAAGATGATCACGCTTCCTGAACCGAAGCGTCCCGCTGAAGTAAACAAGACCGATGATCCAAAGTATTGTCGATATCATCGACTCATCAGCCATACGATAGAGGACTGTTATATCCTTAAGGATATAATTCAGGAAAAAAATCAACAAGCATGAGATCGAGGTGGATTCATCCTCGAAACATCAGACGGCAACGTCCAATATGATCGAAGGAAAGTCAACACCTTCCGCTCCATTACCAGAAGGGGCAATCCCTGTAAGATTCCATGTCGATAATGAAACCACAGTTGTCTATGCTTATCCTGGTATGCCTCGTTCTGGAAATCCAAAAATTCCAACTCTATATGAGCTCATGACGGCACCAAGTTTTGATGTTTGGGAGGATTCGTCATCACTTGAATCCGAAGACGAATGGCAAACCGTCAATGAAAAGAAAGTGAAAAAAATTGCTAAACGTCTTTCTTCCACAAAGCGATCAAAAGGAAAATTATGGAATGAACCACCCTCAAAGGATGGAAAGAAAAAGAAGAAGAATACTCAAAGAAAGCCTAAAGTCTTTCAAGATGATGAGTATAAGCAGCCTTTCAGAGCACCAATAACCCTTGGAGACTACTTCCCTTCAAAACTTTTTAAGAGTAAGGGAGGCGAGGAAGAAATTGGAAATTGTCGCACAACCTCATGTGAAATCTACAACGATGATGAGGTAGATGAAATAACTCTGCGCTCTGGCCAAAGGATCCCGTCTGCGGACAAGAAAGAAGGAAAATAAGTAGTTGATTCAGTCAAACATTCTGATCAATCAAGTGCAAGACAAGTTCCAGTCATTACTACTGTAGAGCCTGCGGTAGAAATTTCGGTCTCAAACACAAAAGCAGGTACCTCTAAGAGACATGCAAAAAATGTATTACAATCCCAAGATGGAAAATATGACATCGTCGACCATCTTAAGCGCATTCCATCTCTTCTTAGTGTGTACGATGCTCTAAAAATGTCAAAGGAGCTTAGAGAAGCACTCATTACGGCTTTGACAAATCCTGAAGTATTTGAAACAAACTTCAAATTTGCAGAAGTAGATACAACGTCACCAAAGTATTGCGCTTGCTGCCTCGCAAGTATCACATTTGATGAAAATGACCTTATACTTGGAGACGAGTATCATAATCGACCTTTGTACGTCAGTGGATTAGTGGGAGATACATCGATAAATCGAATCTTGCTTGATTGTGGATCAGCAGTGAATCTGCTTCCTCTTCGAACACTTCGAGCTTTGGGGATTAATGTTTGTCAACTAACACCATCAATGTTAACTATTCAAGGCTTCAATCAAGTGGGACAAAAAGCAATGGGAACAATAGCCTTACAAATGGAGATAGGAGAGTTATACTCCGACGCCCTTTTCCATGTAATCGATGCTAACACATCTTACAATGTTTTATTAGGGCGTCCGTGGCTTCATACATATGGTGTTGTTCCTTCTACACTCCATCAATGCTTCAAGTTTTTGATAAATGGCGAAGTCAAGACAGTTCTAGCGGACACCGACCCATTTAAGGGTGAAGAAGTGAATTATGCAGATGCAAAATTCTACAAACAGACAAAGGTCACTTTTTCACAACCAACAAAAGATGAAGTAGTGCAGAAGGAATCTCAATTACCAGATGTGGAAAAGGTAAAGCCGTCAAGGCTGGTCAAAATTGCGAGTTTTAAAACTCCAAAGTCTCGAAAAGTGGTTCTCAACCGTTCATTAAAAGATCAAGGAGAACCTGAAAAGAAAGCAATAGAGCAAATCCAAAATGCATTTGAAGCACTCGTGACCAGCTACACGAAGCCTTTACGCAGAATTAACCAATCAATTCCTGGAAGCAATTTGATAGTCTCAACAAATTTACAAAGGAATGATGGTCGACATGGTCGCATTGTTTCGTTCAAAAGAAATGAGTCCTCGTCAAAAATTCC